ATGTCCGAACAGTCAGCGGCGGCCGCTGCCCGCCAAAAGCAGACGGCGCCGCCAGAGGACGGGGCGCTCGCGCAGCTGAATGCGCGCAAGCAGAGGCCCCGATCGGCTCGAGATGCAGAGGAGTCGGCGGCGCGCAAGGAAGCGCGCAAGGAGAGGCCCCCATCGGCTCCAGATGCAGAGGAGTCGGCGCCGCCAGAGGACAGGGCGAAGCTGAAGGCGCGCAAGGAAGCGCGCAAGGAGAGGCCCCCATCGGCTCGAGATGCAGAGGAGTCGGCGCCGCCAGAGGACAGGGCGAAGCTGAAGGCGCGCAAGGAAGCGCGCAAGGAGGCGGCTCGAGATGCAGATGAATCGGCGCTGCCAGAGGACCGGGCGCTCGCTGTGAAGCTGAAGGCGCGCAAGGAGGCGCGCAAGGAGGAGGTCCGATCGGCTCGAGACGCAGAGGAGTCGGCGCTGCTAGAGGACGGGGCGAAGCTGAGGGCGCGCAAGGAAGCGCGCAAGGAGGCGGCTCGAGATGCAGATGAGTCTGCGAAGCTGAAGGCGCGCAAGGAGGCGCGCAAGGAGGAGGTCCGATCGGCTCAAGATGCAGAGGGGTCGGCGCTGCCAGAGGGCCGGGCGCTTGCGAAGCTGAAGGCGCGCAAGGAGGCGCGCGAGGAGAAGGTCGGATCGGCTCGAGGCGTCGATGCTGCAAAGGAGTCGGCGCCGCCAGAGGACCGGGTGCTCGAGAAGGGGAGGGCGAGCAAGGAGAGGCCTCGATCGGATCGAGATGCAGAGGAGCTGGCGCTGCCAGAGGACCGGGTGCTCGAGAAGGGGGGAGTGCGCAAGGAGAGGCCCCGAGATGGGGAGGAGCCCGCGCAGGAGGGGAAGCTGAAGAAGCAACGCGATGAGGGCTTACCACAGGACCCTCGCACACGCAAGGCTCACCGTCGGGGTGACGCCAGCCAGCCCCCTGGGACCGCAACGCCACAGCAGAGTAAACGACTGCCGAAGGAGGACAGCTCTGCGAAGACGGCGAGGCCACAGGAGTGCACGGCGAGCTCCACGAAGGAAGCGAGGAGCGGTGAGGAGATGAAGCCGACGGCCCTGAAGGAGCCCCCCGAGGACAGGGCAGCAGCCATGGAGGCCCTGCAGGACGAGGCAGGGGCGGCCCTTGGCAACCAGCAGAAGGCCGCGGACAGTGCGAGCTCCGATTCCGAGTCTGACGAGGAGTTCGAGGCGGAGAAGATCAACACCACGGAGGTCGACTTCAAGAATGGCGATGGCCCCGAGGCGGAAGGTTGCGCATCCCACATCAGTTCGTCCGATGAAGAAGACGCTGAAGTGCATCACACTGGAGGCTCCGCGACTGGCAGGGGCGAGAAAAACACGAGTGGAAAGGATGATGGAGACGGCCATGGCAAGGCTGAGGGCGAACGCATGTCTGACAGCGGCTCCGAGAGCGAGGAGGGCGGCACCGTCGACGCCCACGGCAAGAAGGCGGGCGAGAACGACGGCAAGGATACGATCCTTGCGGCGAAGAACCTTGCGAAGGCCCCCGTCGTTCCTCTCTGGATACCTTCCTCCTCCTTTGCCTCCCCCTCCCTCTCCTCCTCCTCCTCCTCCTTCTCCTCCTCCTCCTCATTCTCCTCCTCCTACTCCTCCTACTCCTCCTCCTACTCCTCCCTCCTTCTCCCTATACCCCCAATACTCCTAATCAACCTCCTACTTCTCCCTCCTCAGCCATAGTCGTCGTCCTCGTCCTACTCTTCCCTCCTCCTCCCCCTCACCCTCCTGTCCTTCGCAAGGCGGGGGCGCGTGGCAACTCCACCACGCACAAGAACGAGTGGAAGCGGTTCGACAGGCTCTACAGGAACCCCGCGAAAATGAAATCGCTCAGGAATGGAGAGTCCAAGCTCGAGCTGTTCCAGAAGTTTTTGGAGTGTGACTTCGACGAAGCTAAGTTCTTGGTGAAGATGAACAAGGTCGCCGAGATGCGGAAGTCCCGCACGGACAGCCTGAAGCTGTACACAGTGAGGCAGATGAAGGAGGACCTCCATTATGACGAGGCCACGATCAAAAAGGTGGTGGAGGTCAACGAGAAGAAGGGATGGTGGCGCCCAGACAAGATCAACCCGGACAACAAGGACCTGAGGAAGTACTTGGCCGATTCAGGTGGATCGGTGGACGCGACGAGCTCCTTGACTGAGAGTTTTGGAGTCTCGGCCGAGATGGCGATCGACGCGGACAATGCCACCGACTTGCTCCACGCTGGCGTGCTGCAGACCGAGTCGTGGATGGGAGAGCAGGGGATCGACGATGCCATGGACCTCATCCCTCGCGGCACGATCAACGCGGACACGACGGACAAGGAGAAGCAGAAGGCAGAGAGGGAGGCCGCGAAATTGGCGAAGCTCGCCAAGAGGACGCCGCTTGAAGTCGGCCACGACCTGCTCGACGAGACGATCAACTTCGCGGCCGATCTGGACAAGCACAGGTTGCGGTGCGAGGGCAAGTCGCTGGCGAGGCCCACCTTGGACGCCCTCGTGGCCCTGGAGAAGGACGTGAAAAATATACTCGCCGATCTCAAGCAGAAGGTGGTGTGACCTCCTCCTCCCGTTACCCTTCATTCATCCTCTTCCTCCTCTTCCCCCACCTCGATTTTGTTTCTCCTGCTCCTCCTCGGTCTCCTCCTTCCCCTTCTTTGTCCTGCTGCCCCTTCTCCTCCTTCCCATCGCCCTCCTTTCCCTTGTCGTCGAGATGTTCCTCCTCCTCCTCCTCCTCCTCCTACTCTTCCTCCTCCGCCGCATTTCACCATAATAAAGCTGAATCTGCCATGTTGTGTAAACTATGTCGCGTGAGCAATGCAATATAACGCGCCCGCTTCGTCATGGTATCGCGCAGGTGTAAGCTACGTGATGTAAGCTAGCTCGTGCAAGCTATGTGGTGAAGGTTACGCTGAGCAAGCAACGCCCGTACAAACATGTTCGAAACGGTGGGCCAATATGCGGTGCAAACTACGCGGTGCAATATGTTGGCAGTGCAAACTATGTTGTGCAATCTACGCGGTGCAAGCCGGGTGCAATCTATGCTGTGTGCTGCCAAGTGTCCCGCGGAGCCCCTGTCTTGAGTTCGGTCGGCTTAACGAGCCCCTGGGGCCCTCAAAACATTGGCAGCATAATCCCTGAAGGTCGGCGCGATGAAGAACAAAGCCAAGCACTACGATCAGGCCCGGACACTCCTTGCGAGCAAGAAGCTGGACTTCGCTAACAACCTTCTGCCCTATGTGAAAATGTACGGCCAGAAGCCCAAGAAGGGCAAGGAGTCCAAGTCGGAGGCCTAGGGGCGGCTGGCTGGACAGTCTCCAGTTAGCTGCAGCGGCCTGGGGTCTCGCACGTGCGCGGCGCGAGCAGCGAGTCGGGGGCCAAGTTGCACGAGCTAACTTGGCATGCTGCTGCGCTGATGGTGGCAATGCGAGAAGCAGAGAAGGAGGAGGAAGAGGAGGAGGAGGAGGAGGGAGAGCAGGATCAGGAGGAGGAGAAGAGGAGGAGGAAAGGGACGAGGAGGACGATGAGGAAGAGGAGGAGGGGGAGGAGTGCGATCACAATCGCTCTCACTGCTGATCGCTCTCTCTATGCTGTCAGAGGCGGGCCGGAAGGGATGGGAGGAGAGGGGACAGTCAGGGGAAGGAGAGGCTGCCCCCGAGAATGGGCACTCATGCTCCCTCTGCTTACTCCTCCTCCTCCTCCTCATCCTCGTGCTCGTCGTTGTCCTCCTCCTCCTCCTCCTCCTCCTCCTCCTCTTCTCCTCCTCCTTTCCACTGCCACACTCCCTCCCTATTGCATATCTCCCCCTTGCCCATGCGTCCTCACCCACCTTGTGATTCATCCTTCCACTGATCCTGATAATGTTCCCTTCTCGTATGCATCCCATTCGCCTATTGTTGTCCTCGCTGACCCCCTCGCACTCCTGCCCCTGCCGGCGCCGCGCTGGCGGAGGTTCGCGGGCGGCCCCATCTTCATCCGAGCGGAGGCGCCCTGCCTCGCGCGCGGGCCAGCCCGAGGGGCGAATGGGGAGGGGGAGGAGGGCAACGGCAAAGGGGGGCCAGGGCAAGGAGGAACAGGGGGAGGATAGAAGGCAAGGGTAAAGCGGAGGAGGAGGAGGAGGAGGAGGAGGAGGAGGAGGAGATGGGAGGAGGAGGAGGAGGAGGAGGAGATGAAGGAGGATGAGGAGGAGGAGAATGAGGAAGTAGGAGGAGAAGCGGAGAAGGAGGCATGAGTAGGAGATTATTAGGAGGTGAGAGGAGGAGAAGGAGACAGCAGGCAGGATCGCATCAGGAGTTCAGCATGAGAATGGGCAGCTGTGACTAGGTTGTATGAGGGTGCGGAGGAGGATGTGAATAGACCACGCGGAGGATACTGGTGTGTCTTTTTGGTCGTGATGGCGGAAGGTCGTGCTGAGTACCAGCCACACACCCCCCCCAAACCAAACAACATCCCCCCCCTCGCCACCCGCAACCCCCCAACCTCCGCAGCAGGAGCAGCAGGAGCAGGAGGAGGAGGAGGAGGTGGAGGAGGAGGAGGAGGAGGAATAGACAGGAGGAATGGGGGAGGGGGAGGAAGGGGAGGACGAGGAAAAGCAACCGGAGGAGGTGGAGGAGGAAGAGAAAAGGGAAAAAGAGAGCGAGCAGGAGGTGGAGTGGGTATACCTGTAAGTCGCTCGTGATTCGTTGGGCCCTTTTTATCGTGCACTTCGCTGTGTTGGGGCTCTATTGCCCGGGGCTCCTTCAAGCCGTGGAGTGGGGGGCTCCTGAGGTCTCAGCACGCAGATTGCCATCTTGCCTGTGGAGCCCCTCTCCTTCTCCTTCTGCTCCTCCTGCTTCTCCTGCTCCTGCTGCTCCTCCTGCTCCTGCTCCTCCTGCTGTTGCTGCTGCTGCTGCTGCTCCTCCTCCTCCTCATCCTCCTCTCCCTCCTCCTCCTCCTCCTCCTCCTCCTCCTCCTCCTCCTCCTCCTCCTCCTCCTCCTCCTCCTCCCCCTTCTTCCTCCCCGTACTTTGCGCGGCCTGCCCTTTGCGCGGAGGCCTGTTGATAGCGACAGCTTCCGCGACTTCATCATCGATGAGGTCGGGCACGGTATGAACATCAGCACTTGCACTCGCGTCGCTCGCGCAGTTCGAGGCCTTGTCGGAGGCCAATCATGCGGCAAGTTGGTGAACAAGCTGGCCAAGGCGGGCGAGAAGCAGTCGTCCCACGCCGAGCGGGACTTCCACAGGAGCATGCGCGCGTTCGCGCCCAACTTCGGGCTGCAGCCTTACCGCATTGAGGTCAAGCTGCAGTACGAGGAGCGCTGACCGTAAGAATGTAGCGGGCGGGCTGGGACCTCCTCCTCGCCCTCCTTGTCCTAATCCTCATCCTCTCCTCCTCTTCCCCCTCTCGTCCCCCTCCTCGTCCTCCTCCTCGTCCTCCTCCTCCTCCTCCTCCTCCTCCTCCTCCTACTCCTCCTACTCCTCCTACTCCTCCTCTGCCTCTTCCTCCTCCTCGTCTTTGGCAGCGCCTACCCTGCAGGACGACCCTGCACCGACAGAGCACCTTGTTGATGCTCTGGCCCCCCACGAGCTCTTCGCCGCGCTCTGGGCTGCGGGCACTGATCAGGATGCCGTTCCGCGCGTTGTTTGGATCGCGGTGAAGGAGAGAGAGAAAGAGAGAGAAAGAGAGAGAGAGAGGGAGAAAGAGAGAAAGAGAGGGAGGTATACGGGAGAGAAGAAAATGAGGAGAACAGGGAGATCGAGAGAGAGAGGATAGAGGATACAGAGAGAGAGTGATATAATAAGCGAAAGGGGGAATTGAGAGACGAGAGGAAAAGAACGGAACTGCACATGGAGAGAGAGAGAGAGAGAGAGAGAGAGAGATGCGTATAGAGAGAGGGTGATGGAGGGATAACGTGTTGTGTGAACGTGTTGTGCGTCTGCCGGCCGGGCCTCCCCACTCCTCTCTTTCTTCTCCTGCCCCCGCTCCACCTCCGCGGTGCCTGCCCCATGAGACCCCATGCAGCAAGCCCAAAGAGGCGCCCCAGAAGACCCGGCGAGGCCCCAAGAGGCCCCCGAAAAAACCCAGAAACGCCCCCGATATCATCCCCAATAGGGTCCCAAGAGATGTCCGGGCGTCAAGCGCTCCAAGACGGCGCGAGAGGCCCCCGAGATCAGAAGCCCAAGAGACTCCCGAGAGAGCCGCAATGCGGCCCAAGAAAGCCCCAAGAAAACCGACGAGGCCCCCCCCAAGAAGGCCCAACCGACACACAAGACGGCCCAGAGAAGGGCTCTGCAGCGTCAGCATTTTCGTCGTCGTCGTCGTCGTCCTCGACCTCGTCCTCGTTGTCGCCGCCGCCGTCGTCTTTGTCGTCGTCGCTGTCGTCGTCTCACCGTCGTGATCGTCGTCGTCGTCGTCGTCGTCGTCGTCGTCGTCGTCGTCGTAATCGTCGTCATCGTAACCGTCGTGATCGTCGTCGTCGATGACGTCGTCGACGACTTCCTCAGAGTCGGGGGAACGGTCATATAGCTTAAGGTCATGCTATGCAACATATATCTCCAGCGGGAGATCTCCATCTTCGGCAAGAACGGTGCCGACGGGGTGCTCCGCTGGTGGCAGAATGCCATCGCCACCGCGCCCCACCTCGCTGACCACCCGGCGGCCAGACGGCCATGGAACGACGTTGGCAAGACAGCGCCGTTGTACGTGCACTACGACGGCGCCGAAGTCTTCCGCAACCAGGAGTACCACATCTGGAGCTACGGTTCCGTCATGTGCGACGTCGGCAGCGCCTTCGACCGCTTGTTCCCGATTGTGTCGATCCCGCACGCCGCGCTCGTTGACATGAGGGCCGCCCAATGCTCGCCGCCCAAACGTGGCCGCGCGCGCTGCCCCCTGCGCCTCCCCCGCTGCACAGGAGGAGGGGCGAGGGGTAGTGGTCGCGGCCACGCTTGTGCGGCGAACGATCTGCCGTAGCCAAACTCGCCCATTGGTCCTCCACCGCCCTCCTCGAGGGGAAGTGGCCTGATCGGGGCGCGCGCGGCGAGCCGCTCGAAGGGCGCCGGGCCGAGCTGAGCGGCACTGACCTCGCCGAGGGTTGGCGCGGAGCGTTCGTTTGACAGGCTTTCGCCGACTCCGCCGGGCAAAATGTAAATGGCGGCCCCGAATGCATTTTGGCTCACCCCTTACGCGAGTCGTGCTGCACGGGGAACTCCACCACAGGCCCCCTCCTGCCCCCCCTCCCCTCCTCCTCCTCCCCTTCCTCCTCCTCCTCCACCTCCTCCTACTCCTACTCGTGCTTCTCCTCCTCCTCCTCCTCCTCCTCCTCCATCTGCTCGTCGTCGTCGTCCTCTTCCTCCTCCTCCTCCTCCTCCTCCTCCTTCTGACTCGCTCGAGCTTTACGGGGCCTGACACCGCCATGGCTTTGTATATTTGTGCGCCTGCAGCGAAAATCAAAAATTGGTTTTCCTCCTGCTCCTCCTCCTCCTTCTCCTCCTCTTCCCGTCCTCCTCCTCCTCCTTCTCCTCCTCCTTTTCTTCGCCCCTCCCCGTCCTCCCCTTCGTCCCTCCTCCCCTCCTCCTTCCTCGCTCCTCCCCCCTTCTCCTAACGCGGCGCCTCGATAGCTAGGGGCTCGCGGGTGGGGTTCGCGGCAGATGCAAAGAGCAGGTGGGAAGCGCATTGTTTGCCACGCTATTATAAAAAGACGCTGCTGTGCGAGTCCTGTCTGGCGCAGAAACCAGCCCAGAACGGTGACCCAGATATGACGTTCATGGATTTCGGGCCCCTCGCACGGTGGAGAACATCCAAGATAACGCACGAGCAGTTCATGCGCCTCGAGCCTCCTGTGTACCATTCGCCGTGGTACATCGTTCAAGGTATCACACTACGCACGCTCCACAGGGACTTGGCGCACGGCATCTACCTTGGGTTCGGAAAAGACCTAGCTGCAAGCGCTGTCGTGCTGTGGCTCTACACTGGCGGGTTAGTGCGGTGGTGCTCCGAGAAGTTCGAAGCGCATAACGTGACGCACGATATGGCCCTCGACTTGCTCTTCAAACACTACAGGGTATGGTGCGCAGATCGCGGCGTCACAAAATGCCGCCTTTCCTGGAATTGCTTTACTTTGCCATCGATGGGTCGCGAGCGGCTGAATCAGAAGGAGTTCCCGTGTCTTTCGGGCAAGGTGAAGGCCATTGCTTGCAAATGCATCCTGCACTACCTTGCCTGTGTGTCGTGTGACATCTACGACTACGACGGCACTGACGACCACAGTGCGCTTTGTGGCTGCCTCTGTTCGTTGGTTGCGTACGTCCACCTGCTTGACTCCGCCGGCTACTGGCTGACCGACGCTGAGTGCCGCGATAGCGATTATCATGGCCGACGGCATCTGCAACTCTACCACGCGCTAAGGTCGCGCAGTGGAATGGGGGATAAGTGATAGGAGGGAGAGGGGACAAAAACTAAGCAGGGGATCCTTCCTTTCCACCTCATCGTCCTCCTCATCTCCCTCCACCCTCCCCTTGTTTCTTATTGCGGCTGCCCCTCCTGGCCCATTGTCCTTCTCCTTGTACAGTCGAAACCCACGGTAAGGACGTGCGCCCTCCCCCAAGGTACCTTTGCGTCCTCCCCCTCCTCCTCCTCCTCCTCCTCCTCCTCCTCCTCCTCCTCCTCCTCCTCCTCCTCCTTAAGGAACCTCTCTCCTCCGCGTCGTCGTCCTCCTCCTCCTCCTCCCCCTCCCCCTCCCTTCCCTCCTCTTCCTCCTCCTCTTCTTGCCTCCAAGGGCCTTGCTCACTTACCTCCTGTCCAGATTGTGGCTGCAATTTGTATTGTCAACGCCTGCAGGTGGTCGTCGATGCACAACCGCACGTGGCTCTTCAGGATTCTGGACGCTTCGCGTAACCCCGCCAGCCCGTCCAGAGCCGATGCCGAGGGTTGTCCTGATCAAAAAAGCAAGGCCCGCGTCGTACAGATGATCACAGGGCCGGCGACGCCGTCATACCCCAAGAGGGGGAGGATGGGCGAGGCATCGAAAGAGGAGGAGGATGAGGCAGAGACTGAGGAGGTGGAAGAAATGGAGGAGAAGGAGGAGGAAGAGGAGGACAGGGAGGAGGACAGGGAGGAGGAGGAGGAGGAGGAGGAGGAGGAGGAGGAGGAAAAGGAGGACGAAGAAGACGACGACGTGAAGGGCCAGAGGCCTCCTCTTGGATGCCGTTCGGAGCCCCTTCGGACGTCACTTGGGAGTCCCTTCGAAGCCTCATGCGTCTTGGGGGCTTCTTGGCGGCCCTGGCTGCCTCTTGGGGCGTCTTGCGAAGTGCGTCGGGGAGCTTTCTCTTGGGGCCTCTTGGGAGGCTCTTGGGGGCCTTTGGGGGGCCTCTTGGGGTTTCCTGGGCGGCCTGCGAAGCCGCCAAACGCCGTATTCGGTTGACGTGCTGGGATGCGACAAAAAAATGTTCCGGGCGTCTCTTGGGGCCCTGTTGGGGCGCTCTCGGGAGCCTCGGTTGCTTCCTATAGAGCGCCTGTATGCCCCTCTCGGGGCCCCATTGGGCGGAAGGCCATCGAAAACGAAAAAATGGAAAACAGACAACATTGATTTGCTTAAGACTTCGAACGGTCATGGGCATCTTGGGGGTTTCCTGGTCTGTATGAGGCCCCATCTCAGGCCATCTTGGGCGCTCCAACGTCCCGCCGAGAATTCCCGTCCAGGTCCAGGGAAAGGAGGTCAAGGGGGAGGGGTTACGGAAGAGGGGAAGCCCTACGCCCGGAGGGCTCGCGAGATTCTTCCAAAACACCACTATTTCGACGAGCAGTTGGATGCCACGTTATCGTCACGTGAGAACCCGTCCAAGCAGATGTGTCTCACCGGTGAAGATTTTTTGGGAAAAATCAAACGTATCGAGAAATCCTGTTCCAAGGCATCCGCCAACGGGCGCATGTTGCAACGGTATTCTCTTTTTATCCAGAATAGGTGGGCCAAGCGCGCCGCAGCTGGCGCGCGCAGGCGCACTCACAAGGGAATTTTAAAAGTGAAGGAGCGCTGATGTGCGATCCTTTCTCTTTATGCCCTCCCTTCTCCCATCACCGATCCCTCACTTCCTCCACCTCCCTCTCCTCCGAGAGCAAGCCCGGGCTGCGCGGCGGGGCGCGCTGGCCTGCACGAAGATCTCGCCCACGTTGGTGAAAACGGAGGCTTTCCGCTTTCCGAAGCCCAGGCAAGGGGGAGGCGCGGAGAAGTGGATGACGAGGGGAAGGTGGAAGAGACGGTGGAGGAGTATCCTATAGGAGGATGGGGGGAGAAAGTGGAGGAGGTAAGGGAGGACACGACATT